TGCGATCTGCGAATTCGCTACCAATTCAATGTAGATACATATCTCCATTGTTGAGGGATGCCTTTTTAATACCAATTTAAGCAAGAATTAAAAAAAAACCGAATTTAAAATTTTTTTATAAATAATTTTTTTTTTTCATTTTTATTTATTTATTCATAGTCAAATTTCATGTAATCTTTGCACCTTCCTCATCTTTTTTGAAAAATATCTCTTTCCTTGTTTAAAATTTTGCCCGCTAATTTAGTTCTTCCAGCCCACTGTTACTATGAGGAATTGGAGCTAGCAGTACCAGTCAATGAGACCCTCTATCCCACAGATATTGAATTTCACTGCATAACGGTCACTTGCCGGCATGATTACGTGCTGATAATAAAGCAGTAAGTGTAATTGAAAAAGAAAATTTTCAATTAAATTTTAAGTTCGATACAATTTTTTAATAAATTCTGAATTGAAAGCCACTTTTTGGTAATTAGCTGTGAATAAATTTTAGGCACAATTTGGAACCATAGATTTTTTTTTAATTTTCTGTATATTTTTTCAAGAAAAAATTTCAGTCGGAACTTCTATATTAAATAAATTTGGCGAAAAAAAAAATGTTTGAAGGCAAAAAATTTTAAACTTAATTTTAACTGAGTTTTTCCAACGTGTTTTACGAGAAATTTAATAAATTTTTTTAATAACTGATTCTAAATAAGTTTTGCGCTAATTTAAACGAGAAGTTAATAAAAAAGCGGTTAAAAAGTCCAAATTGTTTATAGTTCTGAATGTATTTTCTTAATGTATGTATGTATGTAACTAAATTAATTTTTGTATTTAAATTAATTTTTTTGTGGATAGTAATTCCAATTAATTTTCAATAAACTTCAAGTCAAGTCAAACAAAATTTTATAAATATCAGTTCTGACTAAACCAATTCCAGCAAGAAATATGTAAATTTTCAACAAAAAAACTATGTAGCTCCAATTAATTTTTTATGATCACTTTCAAACAAATTCTATATATGTTCTAATATATGTTCTTTAAATTTCATAACTTCTCGTCCATTTTATCTACACTTACAGCTGTGACCGTTATCTGCTGCGACACGGTTGCACCGAGCAGCCACCCGACTATAGCCGGCCTTACCCTAATTGCTGTGTTCAAATTAAATGTATTGATTAAATTTCATGAAGATAGATATACATAAATGTCATATATAAGAAATAATTTATAGAAGTCAATAAACAAAAGTAATTTTTTTTTTAATTTTCATTAATTTTAAATATTCTTGTCCATTTGTTGACTTCGAGCACAACAACAACAAACATAAGAAATGCGAGGGAAAGTCCCACTGAGCTCGGCCAGTAGATTCAAAAATATTTTCGTAAATCACCCGCTTCCCCACCAGAACCAGTTTCTAACGCTAGGGAAAGCCCAACTGTCCCCACTTTTAAGCGCACAAATGCGCATCATCGCCTCGAATATTGTCAAATTAGCCGACTATCTACATACTTTGAACTTGACCGAAGCGGCCGCGATCGTGCCAAGTAGTTGTTCAAAAGTAAATGAAAAACGATTAGAGTAAATAGCGCAAATAAATTGAAAACAAATAGCAAACCAAATCTTATTATTAAAGCTTTGCTATTGAATTTCCGAACCACAGTCACTGTTTGCACTTTGTCGAGTAAAGATAGTTTTTTACGCTTTCGAGAACACCGTAAACGCGTGCTATGAAGTGTGTTGGAGTCTTTGGATCGCTGTTGTTGGTGGTGTTTGTGGCATCATTGGGGAGCGCAAAGGCCGGTTAGTGCGAAGGAAATAATTTTTATTAAAACGTTTTCTAATTCATTTCTTTCGCAAGATTGCGAATATGGTGGCCAGCTGGCGAAGAGCGGCGCGGAGTTTCAAATAAAAGGCGAATGCAATTTGTACAAATGCCACGAAGATGGCAGCATAACTGCCAAGACGTAGGCTGGTTGGCGCTCCACGGTGCTTTTTTATTCTAAAAATTCTTTTTTATTTATTTATTTTAGCTGTCCCTATGTAGTTGCTCCTAATTATTGCAAAAAGATTCCACAAGACGACTCGAAGCCCTACCCCGCCTGTTGTGAAACATTCGATTGCTGAGCTTGTTCAATGAGGATATTTTACTTTTTATTTAAATACTAGCCAATGCCCGCTTACTTCGCGGCGCCTAATAAGAGCTTTTCGTTGGCCAATGCAAAAGAGCGTTTAAAAACAAAATTAGTCTGTAAAGTCAAAATTTTTGATTTAAGTTGAAACCACTAAGGTGCAGTATCCTCCTCTCACATAGGCCAATAATAGTAACGCTGTGATACCATATGGAATACCTATCCCTTTTGGTGTCATGAGCTTTACCAATGGTCTTATTTCCACTCGTGAGATCTCTGCCAAGCATGCGTAATCTTTTTGTATGATCTTGCAACTACAACATTGGTGCGATGCGTATGCCAATAAAAGTTCTTATAGAGAAACTCAAGAGCACAGAAGTGAGTTTTCTGTTATAGGAGGGCCTAGAATCCTCGCTGTCATATAGGATGAAAAGTTTTCCGGTACATTGCTAAATGAGTCGTGTGATCTCTTAAGTATCTTTCAAATGGAGCAATTGATATACCTACGGTGATCTTTCCTTGTTAATTCACCACTTTTACAAACTTAACCCCATCCTTCATTTAGACATCTGAAAACTAAATTCGTATAACTTAAACATAGGGCCAAAGTAGACCAACCACGGGGTTTCTATACATTTCGGCTGCAGCGCCATCCATTGGGTTCATTTTCTGTAAAACCATTGCTTACCATAAAATGAATACGTGTTATGAATTTCAACCTTAACTCCAGCGGCACTAATTGGGTAAATTTTTATCAAAAGAATTTTCCATCATACAGGTACATAGCTCACATTTAAAATTTGAACGACATCGGTTAATAAATACGATTTTTATAAATAACTCTACTCCAGCACCACCTAGCGAGTTTTCTAGTAGCATGTAATATATGTATGTCAGATAACCTCCGACAATCTGACGGAACTCTATTCAGTGGTTTTTGAGTTTATTCCGAACAACGAAAACGGCTATCATTTAATGCAAATAGGTATGTAGATATAGGGCAGTCTATAACGAAACCCGAAAAATCAAAGCTCCATTCTTTGTGCAAAATTTAAAAAAATTCTTCAAAATTTTCACATAAATTTTACCTTTTACTAAAAACTAAAAACAAAGTTACAATATTTCAATGGGATTTAGAAATCTAGGAGAAAATGGTTCCCAATCGAGTGATACTTGTGCGTTTACGTAAATGTATATCGATGCAGTCTTTCCAATAATTACCACTTTTCGCCATAAGTACGGTATTGATAAAAAATGTAGCTGTGTAGAATTTCAGGACGTTAGCGTAAGTAGTTCCAGAGATAAGCTATATGGGAAGTTCAGTTTGTATGGAAGGAAGGAGCCACGCTCCTTTTCCAATGCATTTGCAATATATGCACCAGTGCTAAGTTCAGTTTCCCAGCGTAATTGGTTTTAGAGATATATTGGTTTTTTACGTTTCAGTCTGTATAAGAATTTTAGGAATATCTCGAGCTACATACCGAGTAAATTTTTGGTCAGAATATTTATTTTCAAGGTGTTGCCAAATATGAACCAAGTCGGTGCAGCCGTTTAGTAGTTTAGTGAAATACATTGTAAAGAGAACTGTATGAAATTGTTAAACGTGACGTCTCAGATTTCTTAATTTTTTGGCAGCAACAACGAAAAGTTTTAATTTTTTTTAGCGAAAAACCTTCCACACAGAAAAAACAAAGTTTGTGGTTATATCAAGGCGAAATTTTGAGAACGGTCCGTTGCTAACTCTAAATATAAACTACGACACATTGGAAAAAGTTAATACGTTCAAATACCTAGGAATAATGATCGACGATAAACTAAAACAAAAAAAAAATTGATTCTATATTTTCAATTAAAGCTCAGGCAATATGTACATCGGTGAAAACTGCATTTAACTCCATACATTAGCTTTTGCGTGATGCGCTTACAAACATACAGACAAACATACCAAAATTTTATATTTGGCTTCTGTTGATCTAATAAACCCTATTAATTTTTCTTTAACATATTCTCAAATACTCTCGTTTGATTCCCATATGGCAACACTTAGTTTATATTATAAATTTAACTGAATTAAAGTTTTCAAACCCGCTTCAAGAATATTTCATTTATTTTACAAATTTTAATGAATACAATTTTTCAATCAGATGGCAAATCCCCTAAAAATATTTTAGCATTAAAATTTCCTAGCCTCTTTAGTTTGATGCCAATATAGCAATATTTAATTTACGCTATCAATTAAATTAAATTAAAGTTTTCAAATAGGTGGCAACCTTCCCCAAAAACATATTCAGCTGTAAGCCTTTGTAAATTTCTTTCTTTTGACAGCCATATTGCAGTATTCACTTTACCGTATCAATTGACCTAAACTGAAATTTTAAACACAGGTGGCAACTCTCTAATTTCTTCTTCTATATTGGAAGCTAAATCTCTAGCGATACAACGGTGAAAACTGCATTCAATTCCATGTTTTCGACTGATGTGCGTACAAATATACAGACAGACAGGGATTCAAAAATTCTAAAAATTGTTTATTTGGCTTCTGTAGCTTAAATAAAAACCCACCATATTAATTTTTCTTTAATATCTATAAGGTACAGACATCGACCTGTTACAATTTTATTATATGTATAGATGTAGATATAGATTTCATTTATTTTATCAATTTAATACAATAAAATTTTTCAAACAGGTGGCAGCCATCCCTAAAAATATTTTCGGCAATATAATTTCCTAACCCCTTTCAGTTTGATCCCCATATTGCAATATTTAATTTATCTTATAAATTAAATTAAATGTACATTTTCAAACAGGTGGCAACTCTAAAAAAGTAGTTTTGGCTGTAAGCCTTCTTCAGCCTCTTTCTTTTGACGCCCATATTGCAATATTCATTTTTTCTTATCAATTTACTTAAACTCCAATTTTCAAAAAGGTCGCAGCTATCTAATTTTTTTCTTCCTATATTTTAAGTTAGACCTCTCGCAATACATCGGTGAAAACTGCATTGAAATCCATCCATTCGTTTTCGAGTGATGCGCGAACAAACGTACAGACAGACAGACAGACAAAAATTCTAAAATTGGTTGATTTGGCCTCTGTTGCTCTAATAAAGACCCCACACATTAATTTTTCTTTAATATCTATAATGTACAGACATCGACCTGTTACAATTTTATTATATGTATAGATATAGATATCTAGATGTAGATTTAGATTTCATTTATTTTATCATTTAATTCAATAAAAATTTTCAAACAGGTGGCAGCCCTCCTTAAAAATATTTTCGGCAGTATAATTTCCTAAACCCTTTCAGTTTGATCCCCATATTGCAATATTCAATTTATCTTATAAATTAAATTAAATGTAAAATTTCAAACAGGTGGCAACTCTAAAAAAATATTTCTGGCTGTAAGCCTTCTTCATTCTCTTTCTTTTGACGCCCATATTGCAATATTCATTTTTTCTTATCAATTTACTTAAACTCCAATTTTCAAACAGGTGGCAACTCTCTAATTTTTTTTCTTCCTAAATTTTAATTTAGACCTCTAGCAATACATCGGTGAAAACTGCATTCAAATCCATGCATTCGTTTTCGAGTGATGCGCGAACAAACATACAGACAGACAGACAGACAGACAGACAGACAGACAGACAGACAGACAGACAGACAAAAATTCTGAAAATGGTTGATTTGGGTTCTGGTGCTCTAAAAAAGACCCTCCACATTAATTTTTCTTTAATATCTATAATGTACAGACATCGACCTGTTACAATTTTATTATATGTATAGATTATAAGTAAATTTTCGCGTATGAAAAAAATATATCGAATTTGTTAATTAAATATTAAAGGTATTTCCTTGAGCTGCAAAAGGCTTCTAAAAAGTTCAGGGTCTTAAAACATGGCTGGGAGTAGACCGTGTCCGTAAAGTAAATATCGTAGATTTAAATTCCCCAAAAAATTATTTTGCTTCACGAAAACATACTCGATTTCGGAGAGCGGCTCAATTCAAAAAATTTTAATTTTTATTAGAAAATCCGCTGCGAAGGCAGAATGGACTTTCAGTATTTTTTTCGTGCATAGGAGGATCTCCATAAAAAGTACACTCAGCGTTAAGCTTTGAGATAAACCTACATGCATCAGCGACTGAATTCACGATGGAGAACCTTTATTCGTTCCCAACGATTTGTGAGGAATAAGCATTGCTGGTCTGGTTCAGGAATTGTGAGGAATTGACCTGCTCTAAGGAAATGAAAGTGAGTGAGGACAGTGAAGTCGTAGGGACCTTACTATAGTTTTTCGTGGGCCTTAAGGCTCCGTAAATGTCGTTCCTTTAGCGCTAATTATTTCAGAAGGGATCCTTGCCTACAAAAAATGTGCAGATGTAAGATCAAAACTTCGCTCGATCCTAACTTTTTCTTTGAACCTGTAGCGATTGTAAAGCAAAAGTTCATTTAGATAGTAATCATCTGCAAGTATATCGCGTTTATGGTCCACCTGTTCGAAGCTGGGTCAATTCGTTCTATGTGGTTTCCTGAATATTTTCCCTGTGGTGAAAAAATGTCGTGACTTGTGCTTCCATTCCCAAAGGGGTGATTTCAGCAGTAGCTTCTTAGCGGAAATCTTTCTTGCTCATAAGGCATACCCTAGCCTACAGAGAACGGTGGTTAACTTCCCCCAAAGCCCTGTACTAGTTTCAGTTGACTAGATTGACGCAGCAGTGCAGAGAAAGGCCCCAATGAAAAGAAATTTATGCATTTATTTTCGGAGGAGGATTAGTTAAAAAAAAAGTGATTGTAAAAGAAAGTGTTCGACTTATAATGCATTTAAACTACGTCACTTTGACTCATTCGCCCCTTGGCCATCCTCTTTCCAATCCTGTTTTATAAAGTCCGCCCCTCTTTCGCCAATCATAATCGTCGGTGCGTTCGTATTTCCGTGTGGCACATCGGGCATTATGCTGGCATCGGCCACTCGTAAGTTATCCACACCATAAAGTCGTAAGCGTGGATCCACACATGCTCCCTGATCGCTACTGGGGCCCATTTTTACCGTGCCGGTCTGGTGATAACCCGCCTCTCCGAAGTATTTAACGTAGCAACGCCAGTAGGCTTCCGAACGGTACTTGTACTTATCGCACTCCCCGAGTGGTATACGCAACAGGGTTGCATTTAGTTCCCGCATAGCCTTTGTGCGCTCTAAGCGTTCGATGAAGCGTATACCGCGCAACATAGTCGCCAAGTCTTCGGGATCACTAAAATAATTCGAAAAGATGCGTGGATGATCAAGGTAATCGGAACTGCGCAGACGTATTTTGCCTACGGAGCGAGGCTTGGTCGACAACAATAAAAAGGTGATCAAATGTGTGTTCCTTAATTGCCGAATTAAGCGCGCTGTGTACTTCTCGCCACGTCCTGCAAAATTGACTCTGATGGACTCAACATCGCCTTGTTGGTGTAGTGTGTAGTGATATTGCATATCTGGTAAATCGCTATCACCTTTGGTGTTTACGAAGGTGGTGATACTATTGGATCCGTTACCAAACTGACTGTTGTTGCGAGTCAGGAATTGGTATAATAAATCGATGTGCCTCGTCTGCTCAAACGCGTCGAAAGATGTGTTTTCCAATTTAAACTGAACCCTTAGGGCTATGTGATCGCGTAGATTTGAACCAACTGGCAGGTCGTGCACCACCGGTATGTCCAGCTTTTCAAGATGCTTGCGCGGTCCCACGCCCGATAACATCAGCAACTTGGGCGAATCTATGGTGCCTGCCGAGAGCACCACCTCCTTGCGCACCTCAGCACTCAACTCATAACGTTCGCGNATGCGTCTACCATTGCTAGTAATCATTGGCTCGAATGCAGTGCCTATTTCTACGCCGTCCTCGAACTCCGACTTGGAGGGCACGCCCAATTCTGCAGTAGCATTGAAAATGGCGTTGTTCAGCAGCACATTGCCTACATCTTTATTTGCGTCGATTACCACATAGCCCATGGGATGCGTGGTATTGCCCACAGGGCGCACAGCGCGCTCATAAAATCGCTTCACATCAGCCCAGCCCCACTGTGTATTGCCCGCTGCCAGCCAGTCGTCGAAATCCTGGCGATGCCCCTTCACGTATACCAGACCATTTATTGCGCCTGTGCCGCCTATGAGCTTACCGCGCGGGTTGTAGCACAATCGGCGCCTAAACCCTTGACAAATGTGTGGTTGTGGGTCCGCGTAGTAATCCCAAGAGTAACGAGTGCGCTGCAAATGACCCTGCAAGCCGGGAATCTGAAAAAAGTTTAGATGTAGTTAAGATAAGTGAAATATGAAACTTGCAGCACCTCTGACTCCTGTGGTGGGTCATCGCCCGCCTCCAACACCAGCACTTTCCACTTGACATTCTCGCTCAAACGACTGGCTACAACCGAGCCTGCCGAGCCAGCACCTATAACTATGAAATCGTATTTCCCGATACCATCCTTCAGTGCACCATCGCCGTAGTCCAGAGGCCAGTCGGACTTTGCAGAAATAGCGCAGTTTGCTGTTAATATCGTTTGGACCAGTGTGGTAACTAGACTATTGACTGCGCCGACACTCTGTGCCGCGCATGGCAGCTGTATCGAAGTGTTCGTCATGACGGTTTTGTTTATAATACTTACAAAGTCGGGAACGTTTCATGTTTAAGCCCATGAAGGCATTTAAACAGCAGCTGCGACCCGATTACTGATTTCTTTACTGCATTGTAATGGCTTTATTCATAAAAATAAAGTGGATTTATACCTTGTTTATACCGACACATAAAGCACTGCGACTCAGTTCGGTGTGGTTCAAAACATATGTATGCATAAAAAAAATTCGAATACACGTTGGAACTGCAAAGTGTATTGACTCGAATTGGTTTTCAAATCGGTTTTTTATTCCTCACAAGGGTTAGAAAACCCGTATAAACGAGTAGTTCATTTTACGCGAAATCAAAATTGGCTTTTTTTTCTTTATGCAGCGCGTTTTTAAATGGAATTATTATTATAATAAATTTGTATTACTTCTCGCCTCCATTTCGTTACACGGCGCAAATTTATTATTAAATAAATGTCGAATAAAACTAACAGAATTTGTTTACTTTTCAAAACGGTTTTATCGAAATAATATGTGCTGAATCAAATCGGTTTTTTCCTAGGTATAAACAAGGTATTAAAGAGCTCTATGAAGTGACATTTTCATACAAATTTTCGATTTATAAAACAGTTGAAGTCTTTTTTATTTTATTATGAATTTGGGTGTAAGTATATCGGCATTGTTTAAAGAATAGCTTTTTACAATACTCTACCATGGCACTATGGGACCAATTTCACTTTCGCTTTTTACAAAGTATTTTTTGGTGTTCGGTTTGTAATAAAATGAGGGGAACATTTCGAAAAAAATGATGACAGTCGGCAACTGCTTAGACAGCTGTTGATGTTTACGTGGTCGATGCCGATGCCGATTAATCGGTCTTGGGGTTAAAATCGGCCGATGCCGATTCCTTAAAATAAACTACCTGAATATGAATTCATTCAAGAACGAATGTTTTTGATAAACTTTTATAATAACAAAAGAAAAACATAAAAATATAACATTACAAAACAAATAATCTTTCAAGAATCTATTCACTTATTTATGTACATAAATAAATATGTATTAAAAGCAGTATATCGCCTATGCATACATATCATCGCAATACTTTGTTTCATAGTCTTTTTCTTATTCAATGTTAAGAAAATAGTTCGTTCGAAATCACATTTCTTAGTTGTACTCATAGTAGTAAAAATATACAGCTTCTGCTGACTATAAAGGTGTTGTATTGAATACAATTTGTTAATAAACAGTAACCGTACACTCTAAAAAAAATTTGCTTAAATTTGCTTAAATTTGCGCATATTAAGATAGGTAACCAGTTTCCTCTCTTCATGAATGCAAATTTACATACCGTGTTAATTAAATTCAACACTGTCCGTTTACTTTTACTTATCATATGTGTGGCGTAGAACAAATTTCAAATTAGTTTGCTGAGTTCTAAACATTTATTGTTCACAATTTTACAGTTTAAACATAAAATGTTTAAAATTTGCTCTAAAAAATGTTTGTTTACATTTACGCATATAAAAAGAGGTAGCCAGTTCCTTTCCTAATTCGTGCAAAATTAAACGTTGTCTGTTTACTTTTACATACTAAATTTGTCATGTAGAAAAAAATTACACACAAAGTGTTTAAAATTGAGTTAATAGGAGCACTTAATGATTATTACTGGCAAAAAGATATTTTTTTACATTAAAAATTTTTGCAATTCTAAACATTTCATGTTCAAAATCAAATCTTAAACATTTTGTCCGTATACTTACATAAATTCTGGTTGAAAAATAAATACTTTTCAGTAGTAGTTTTACATACACTTTTTGAGTGTAGATTTTTAATGACAAAAGTATTTTTGTACCGTAAACAATTTAGCAATTTAGTGAAAAGAATTCGAAGGATTTAGGAATTCAGCGATTAATTCAAGGATAATCGTAACATTACTTACAGTAACGATATTTTAGCATTCTGTGGCTATTTCTCTTTCGTTTATTTAATGTTTCTTATTTGTTTATGAAATTGTAGCTCGATATCTAACAAAAACCATATTGGTAAAAATTTCAAACTTTCTCTTTAAACATTCTGAGTATGCAGTTTGGTTACCGATTCAATTTTATTTTAATGAAGTGCAAATTTTAAGTAACTAGGACTTTTTGTTGATTTTTGGAGATTTTTTTGTGGAAGGTGTTGCGGATTTTCTCCACACAAAAAAAATTTCGAACATGCTTTGTTTGGAAGAAAAGGCGTGAACAAACAATTGTCAAAAATCAACACTTACCTAGCTATTTCAAACTTGCACTCTATTATACTAAAATTTAAAAAGCTGCGTACTCAAAAAAATTATAAAAATCTGATCAAACAGTTTCAAATTTTGATGTACATTTGTCAAAATTGCGGAAAAAGTAAAAATAATCGGTCAAAAATCGGCCAAAAGCAGCCGATGCCGATGCCGATGCCGATGCCGATTAATCGGTCGGACTCTATTTCAAAATACCCGAAACGGCGCAAGAACTTTTATTGCCTTCTACTTCTCATCAAGCTGTTAGAAGCAGAGACTAAAAATAACTGTTATCTCGAATTTACAAATTGAAAACGTTGGCGGAATTCTGTAAATCAACGAAAACGTTGTTTCATAAGAGTTATTAGATGAAACATATTTTTATTTCGCCAATAAAAGTTGTAACCCAAGGTTTATTTTTTACGTTATTGCTCAACTATTATCTTTTACGTTGCTTGATAACAGCAAAAAGCTTAAAATTTTCGGTCCTGCTCATAAGGCATACCCTGGCCTACCGCGAACGCAGTTTAACTTCTTCGAGCGGCCTCGACTGGTTCCAGTTGACCAGATTGACGCAGCATTGCAGAAAAAGACTCCAATGAAAAGAAATTTATGCATTTATTTTCGGAGGAGGATTAGTTAAAAAAAAACGTGATTGTAAAAGAAAGTGTTCGACTTATAATGCATTTAAACTACGTCACTTTGACTCATTCGCCCCTTGGTCATCCTCTTTCCAATCCTGTTTTATAAAGTCCGCCCCTCTTTCGCCAATCATAATCGTCGGTGCATTCGTATTTCCTCGTGGCACATCGGGCATTATGCTGGCATCGGCAACTCGCAAGTTCTGCACACCATAAAGTCGTAAGCGTGGATCCACGCATGCTCCCCGATCGCTACTGGGGCCCATTTTCACCGTGCCGGTCGGGTGATAACCCGCCTCTCCGAAGTATTTAACGTAGCACCGCCAGTAGGCTTCCGAGCGGTACTCGTACTCATCACACTCCTCGAGTGGTATACGCAAAAGGGTTGCATTTAGTTCCCGCATGG